GGACTCGTCCTTTCTCAGGATGGCCAGTACCTGGATCAAAGTCTCCACTCCACAACAGCCCAGACTCAGTGATGTCAACATTCTTGGTGATGACTGAGGCCTCCCAGATCCCTGACCTCACCCACTCCCATGCCCAGCATCTCCAAATAGGCAGTTTCTGAGGATCATCTCCTCTGGGAAGCCTGCCCTGACGGGAAAGTGCTCTCGCTCTCTCTCTCTCTCTCTCTCTCTCTCTCTCTCTCTCTCTCTCTCTCTCTCTCTCTCTCTCTCTCTCTCTGTCTCTGTCTCTCTCCCTCTTCCTCTGTCTCTCTGTCACACACACACACACACACACACACCCCTGATGTGTAGTAAATACTTCAAAAATACTGATTACATTGACTTGACATGAAGTGAATTGCCCCCGCTAACCCATTCTGGCTTGGGGCTTCCTAAATGGCTTCAGGGGACCAGTCAGTTAATCTGATATCCCCACTTACTACAGCATCAAAGGTCAAAGAAATCAATGATGAGCTCAGTGAAAGCCTCAAGCTTCCTGTCTCCCCTTCTTCCACATTTCCTCTGGTCTTAAAAAAATGTCACTTAGAATAAGAGTCTCCAGCTGGATCCCACTTCAGAGAAACTGAGGCAGAGTAAGATGGGGGGTTATGGGAGGGGAGGAGCTTGCATTTTGGGGCTTAAGTGCCTTGGATTCTTGGTGAATAAGGATGGAGCTCCCTGGCCAGCACCAGGCCTCACTGCTGGTTTCTCTGCAGAGAATGGGCTGACCACTGGGGTCCCTGGGCCAAGTGCTCCAGTAAATCATTGCTGGGACAAGGAGAAAGCATGGGCCACTCAAACACCTGTATACGGCAAACACAAGAAAGGATGGGGGCAGGGAATGGGGGATCTTGCTTAAGGTCCTTCTCAAAGTGCAAGGGGAGAAAAATGTCAGCTCTGAAAGGAGTGACCTTGAGAGCCAAAGAGTTCCTGCGTTGGCGGGAGATGGTGTGGCACCAGCTACCCCCAAAGAGCCCTCTCCAGCATGGGCCTGCCAGATGCTTGGGCAGCCTGAGACCCAACTCCCAGGGCAGCCCACCCACACTGGGACAGCTTTCATCATGAGCAAATGTCTCCTGGGACCAAGACAAAAGGTGCCTGGTCATCCCTTCCTCCGTTTGCTTCTAGTTCTACCCCCGGGCCAAGCAGAACAAGTCAATCCCTCCTCCACGTAACACATGGGGCACCATGTTCTAGGGCACCACCTTCCAGGACTCTATGTTCTAGGGTGCCATCTTCTAGGATGTCATCTTCTAAGACACCATCTTCTAGGGCTCTATCTTCTAGGGTGTCACCTTCTAAGATGCCATATTCTAGGGTACCATCTTCTAGGGTGCCATATTTTAGGGTGCCATCTTCTAGAGCCCTATCTTCTAGGGGACAATCTTCTAGGATGTCATATTCTAGGATGTCATCATCTAGGGCACCACCTTCTAGGATGCCACATTCTAGGGTGCCATCTTCTAGGATGCCATGCTATGGAAGGGTCTTATTTGTAGATAAGTGAGGCTGTCATACTGCAAGACCTTTTGAGGAATAACTGTGGTAATTCAACCATAGGCATGGGGTCCACACACTAAGCTCCCTTTTCCCAAAGTCCGTCTAGGAGGAAACAGCCCAATGGCTGGCATTTTCTACATCAACAATACTTGTCACACTTGACACTCTTTGGGGAGCTAAATTCTATGCTCTTGGCATAGGATCACACATGACCAAAACTGCCATCAAGGCTCTAAGCTGTGCAAGATAATAATCAATAAATAAACACTTATTAAGCACCTACAGTGTGCTGGGCACTGTGCTAAGCTCACAGTGCAAAGCAGCCTGGCACCTTCCCATGTACAAAGGCAAGTCATTCCCTTCACTCATTCTATGAATGATACAGAAATAGGCAATTAGAAGTCTCAAAATAGCTTTTCAGGAAGAAAAAAATAAAAACCATGATTCACACATTGGCTGATGCCCGCCCAGGGCGCAGCTGCAATTTGTTTGTGTCCAAGAGCAAAAGATGGGAAGCCGAGTTGTGCGTGCTGCTATGAGAAGCGGTATGCCCATGGGCACATCACGGGGGCACACGGGCTGCTATAGAAAGGAGGGCACAATCCAACCTCAGAGTCACAGGAGCCCGTAGAGGGTATCTTGTGCAATCCTTTTACTTTCAATGGGGGAAACTGAGGCCACACCAGGTTCACCTAGAGAGGCAGAACTCTGACCCTCATCTGAGCTGAACTGTAGGCCATTGCCAGGTCCTGCCAGCCTGCAGAGTACCATGATAAGTTAGCTGTGTGTCTGCCATCTGAGCAGAGGGCAAGATCAGCCACTGTGGGAGGGGCATCTTCTCATCCAACTGTGGAAGCAGGGGTTTCCCATGGCAAATAGTATTTCTGGACCCAATTGATTTTCCTTGGGGTGTGCAGCAGAAGAGAATGCAGCCTTTTCTAGCAGCTGTTCCTATGGCCTCCAAAAGAAAGATGTAAACTCTGACTGATTTGGCGGGGGGGGGGGGGATAAAAGTTCCCAAGGGACCCAGGAGATATTATGGAGCTGGTGCTCAGATAAATCATCCTCGGGCATCACCAGGGGCCTGTGGGGCCTGGTCCCAGTGACCCCTTGGCTGCCAGAGGGCCCACGGCTCCATCAGCAGCCCAAGAAGATCACCGGACCGCAGATCTGGAACTGGGAGGGGCCTTGGGGGCCAGCCATTCCAACCCCTCATTTTACAGAGGACAGAGTGAGGTCTCTGGGGGGTCAAGGAGCCAGCTGTTCTGGTCATGGGCTCGGGCCCCCCCCCCACTCTCCATCACTGCTCATGAACTCCACCCTGAACACGTCTTGGAAGCAATATTAGAGTGAACAGACCTCCAAAGTCTCTCCATACAAAGTTCACTTTCCAGGATGTGCTTTTGGAGCTGGAAGGACTTTGGAGGCCACAGAGTCCCCTGCCTCCAGGGGCTCCAGGAGCTGAGCCAAGGTGTGGTCCCAGGTGCTGGACTCTAGGCTTCACAGGCTCTGGGGACGCTCTGGATTCTGGAGCCCTGATCTCCTCTGGCCAAGTCCCGTCCCCCCAGTACGCGGTGATAGCAGTGTCAGCACCCAAATCTCTTAGTTATGGAAAGAGCTCCGTGTCCCATGTTGTGAGGGAATGTCATGACACAACCAATTCGTTAGTGCACAGTCTGAATCTGGCCACGAGGTGAGGATGCTGCACAGCCCTGGACTCAGGGAGGCCATTTCCAGGGCTGTGGGGGAGGCAGGATCTGCGTCTGTACCCACCTACACAGACCCCCAGATTCTGAAGGAACCCATGGATTGTTCTTCCAGGGATACCCTCAGCACTATTTCTCCCACACTGCCATGATTCCTGTCCCTGGGGACACTTTCCAGTCCAGTGCAGGCTGGGTTTGGGGTGGCATAGGCCTGCCTCCTCTTTCAAGGAGGAGCCACGTTGAAGTCAGTCACCCAAGTGAAGGTTCCTGCCCGCTCTGGGAATCTCTGGTGCCCCAAGGGGTGAGGAGGAGCTGTGGTGAGAAGGGCCGATCCTTGATAAGCACAAGAATTGGAAGGGAGCTTGTCTCATCAGAATGTTCTGGCTCAGAAAGGAAGGCTAAGCAGCACTTCACCCGGCGGGGTACGGCACCTCGCCCTCCAGAGCCCACGTGGTGCTAATTACAGAGCCTCTGGAGAGCCCTCTTGTCTTGAGTGTTTCAGCCACGGTGTTCTGCATTTGCAAACCATGGCTGGGCAGGAGTCTAGCAGAGGCATTCCGCTTGGCCCCTTCACGTGAAAGGAGTCAATATGACCACAGGAGGAGGAATGAGGTCAGGGCATTCTTGTAGAGGGCAGATGGGGCCTCCAGGATGTGAAGTGGCAGATGGAAGGGCAGAAGGAAGGAGGAAAGGTAGGAAAACAAATAACCAGTAGAGCCAGGCAGGCCAGGAGCCGCCAGAGTGGCCATATCCCTAGTCTCCTTTGCAATTCCTAGAACCTAGCGCACAGTAGGCACCTAATAATGCTTGTGGACTGACTAGTGTGAATGGCACAGAAGACAGGTCATAGGACTCCAGGGGGCAGCCTTCTAGTCCCCCCTCAATTTTCAGCTGAGGAAACTGAGGCCAGAAAAGTGAAGTGACTGGTCTAAGGTGACAAATTCAGCTGGTAACTCCTGATTGGTCTCTCAGCTTCTAGTCCTGGCCCATCTCCAATCCATCTACCCCCTGTAACCCCATCGATATTCCTAAAACCCACTGGCTGCAACAACAACCCTATTGATTCTATGGAAAAGTACAAAATCTTCAGATTGGAATTTAAAGCCATTAAGGAACTTTTCTTTCTGTTCTTATTCGCCTTCACATAATGCCCAGTCTAGTCATCAGGTTCTAGAGTGATTCTAGATTCCACAGGACCATGCTGTCAACTGACATTCTGACGGCTTAAGGTCAGGAGCAAGACAAGCAGGAAGCAGCGGGGACTCATGGGGATGGTGGCCCACGTCCAGGACTCAAGTCAAGTTACTGTCCCAGGCTGGGCTTTGGGGGAATCAACCTGAACGTGCGGCAGGCCTTTGTCCGTGTAAAGGCTTAAAAGAAACAGCATCCCAGGACCACCTCGGCAGAAAATGCTGGGCTCTCCAAAGGTGCCAATGCCCTTATCTGTGCTTGCCTGGAGAGTTCAGAACCCTGTGTCCGTCCCACCCCCCCGGACCCGAGTCCGCTGGACCTTGGTTGTCCTTGGCCACGGATCATCTCAGAACACTTCTGTCTCCTCGGGAAGACAGAAGCCCCGCCCCATTATGGCTACATAGACCACACCTCCACCGCCATCCAGAGTTCTGCCCGCAGGCACCACCCTAAGAAACCTGGGGCGCTCAGCAGGGAAGGGCTGCCCTGCCCCCACCAAGGTGGACTTGTGCCCCCCCTGCCCCCCTGCCCTGCCACACGGCGCAGACTCCCAGGCGGACTTACGCAGCTCGCCAACTTTCAGGATCTCGCAGAGCATCTTGGTCAGCTCGATGCTGCTGCGGCCGAAGGGACACTCATGCTTGTCTTCCCTGCAGGAGTTCTCCAGGACGATCTGTGGAGAGAAACAGAAGGTGTCAGCAAGGGGGCTCGAGGCTGCGCTATGCTGCCCCCGGAGGGGGCGGGGGAGCCACAAAGCAGCATCTCCCTTCAAGGAGCCCAGGCTCTGGAGGTCTGACCTCAGGGGCCTTCAGCCCCCACAGAGCAGTGGGAGTATCAGGCTTCGCTAGGCAGAGCCTGGCGTGTGTACAGTGTATCATCTTTCAAGACGGCAGGTTTTCCTATCCTAGGGCGCCATCTTACCCATGGCCCTGGACAGCTGCCTGCAAAGGGACGGGTGGGGCGGGATTGTGCTCTGGAGGAGAAGGAGCCTCCACATTGATACACAACTCCTCGTTCCCCGCAAACGACTGAACAGTCTGGGAGCCCAGAAAAAGAAATCCGCGGCTTTGACACCTCCTTGCTATGGCCAGGAGCTACTCTGTCGGTCCAAATGGAAAGTGGAACGGGACTGGGACAAGCTGCGGCTATCAGGGCAAGATCCCAAATGAAGAAACAATGTAAGAGCAAAGAGCTTTGAAAGAAAAGACAAAGGAGGAGGAAGGAGAAGATGGAGGGCAGAGGAGAGGGAGGAAGAGGACGAGGGAAAGGAGAGCGAAGAGGAGGACAGTGAGGCTGCTGCCAGGGATTCTTCCTTACGGCTCTAACCAGAAGAGGAAAGTTTTGCCCACAAGCTGCCCACTGTCCTCTCCTGAATTCCCCGCGGGCCGGGGGGACCTCAGCCCCCACTGCCCATCAGGCCCATCTTACTTGCCCTTTACCACTGATGACCCTCTACTTCCAGACTCCAAGCACATAGTTCTTATGCGACTCAGTGAATTTCCACGCATTCCTCTCCCGAAGCGACCCCCGGGAGCCCAACTCAACAAAGCAGCAGCGGCTCCTTATAGGAGGCGGGCGGCCAGACGGGGAAGCAGCGAGGCTCCCGTCTGGGCCGCTGGTGGACTCCACAGGAGGACTCTCGCTTGCATTTCGCGTGAACGTTATGTTAACATTGCATGAGCGTATCAATATTTCATGGTGGGTGGCAGGCGCTCTGCATTCGCGGCAGGTAGACTCCCCTCAGCCAATCAGGGTCGGAGATACATTTTGGGAAGATGGTTTATTAGCAGGCTAGAAACAAAATGCTAATTTAAGTAATCAATATGGAAATCAGCCTCCCAGAGCCCCTCGGCGGCCCATCCATCTTGCGCTGGTTACCTCCAGGAGGGAAATAAAGCAGCCAGCGGGGATCCGTCTGGCAGCCCTCACTAAGGTCCGTGGGCTGCTGAGAGCCAGCCAGGACCTCTGGGGACTTGCATCAAGCGGACGAGCCTGCGGGTCCTTGGTCACTGGCCAGTCACAAAGGGGAGCTCGATCCTCCGTGGGCCAAGAGTCTCGTCCTTTTCCTCCTTAATTCAAGACATTAAAACGTCTGCAAAGCTCTTTGCTATTGGAGAATGAACGACACTCAGCTGAGACAAAAGAACGCCCGTGGGCAGCACCTTCTTTGAAATCTCTCGTGGATATCAGGTTCTGAGGCGGACAAGCCCCTAGCATCAAAACGATTCAGCCCAGCATCGAATATGCACCAACCAGAAGCCAAGAATGCGGCTTTCGCTAGTGTCAGGGACTCTAGGGGGTGCAATAGTGCACCGAGCGCCGGGCCGGAGTCAGGAAGACTCATCTTTGTGAGTTCAAATACAGCCTCAGACACTTTCTAGCTGGGTGACCCTGGGCAAGTCACTTCACCCTGTTTGCGTCAGTTTCCTTAGCTGTAAAATGAGCAGGAGAAGGAAATGGCGAACCACTACAGTGTCTTTGCCAAGAAAACCCGAAATTCGGTCACGGAGAGTCAGACACAAATGAAAATGACTGAACAACTCACGTCAGGGCCATGAAAGCTAGTATCAGCTGCCTCTAATCCAGCTTAGCTTTATCTCTAAAAATAACAACCCTCAATAAACGAACAAAATAATTGAGCGAAGCTCAAACCCCTGAGCCTCCCCAAATGGACCTCTTCAATCTCTCAGCAAGCATTGCCTCGTGCGGGGCACTGTGCTTGGAAGTGGGGTCAGAGTAAGAATCGGAGCCAGCTCTAGCCCTCACGTATGTTAGGGATACAAAGGAGGCTCCGAGGTCCCTGACCTCGAGGAGCTCACAGTCTGTCGGGGAGACAATGCGGACAGAAGCGACAAACAAGAAAGGGAAGGACACTGGAGGAGAAGGCGCGCGTGGGGGGGGAGGAGGGGCGGGAGGAGGGAGGGCGGACGTGAGCACTGAAATCATTCCCGACCTCCCAGCTGCTTTGAGCCTCTCTCCCAGGGCCTCGCACAGCACCCTGCACACAGTAGGCATTTCATGTGTACTCCAGTCCTCTTATGTTTGTGCTGCTTCTCTCCAAATCCTCCACCAGTGCTGTGAGTGTACTTTGGGAGGCAGAGCCCCGAACAGGTATTTAGGCACATTCTGCCCATTGACAAAATGATGAGCATCCCGAGGGGATGACTCCATTTCCCCTGAGCGCTCAGACTCCTGGTGCCACCTTTATTTGGGTAAAGTTGAGCCACTGTTGATTTCACGCTCAGCTTGTACTGCTTAGGCAACATCTGGGTGTGCTGCACCTGAAGTAGGGAAACCGACTGGAGGAAATGCAGAGAGCTGTCCTCACCTCTTTCAAGGGCTGGCCCGGGGAAAGCAATTTGACCGGTTCTGCTTGGTCCCAGAGGGCAGAGCCACAGGCCGTGAGTCTAACTGAAGATGTGATGAGGTAGTGAATGTGTGAGTAGAGTAAAGGGACTGATGGGAAACGAAATATAATACATAATATTAATTAATATATAATCAATATAATGAAATTGAGATACAGAAGAGAGACACAGAGACATAGAGAGATGGAGAGAGATAAAAAGAGAGAGGGGACAAAGAGGTGGAGAGATGGAGAAGGAAAGACGGATACAGACAGAGATCATGCTTACAAAGAGCACCAGGGTCTGGGCGTCACTGACCCACACAACCTCCTCTTTGTCTGCCCAAAAGTTTCCAGGACAGCAGGAGTGATTTTTATTAAGTCCCATAACTAAAAAGTCAAGTATTTGACGTTCTATAAATGTCCAGAGGCCAAGACTTTTCTTCTGGCTTTCACTAAACACTGCTCTCATTCCAGGGGTAGGGGTGGGATGCCTGGGGGGAGGGTAGGGGCAGGGCACTCTGAAGGAAAGCCTTGCTGACAGATAGTGAGGTAGCCTGGGTCAGGAGCCCCAGTACAGACACCCAGAGAAGGGCATGAGGGCTCTTGGGAAGGGCTTCTCTACACTGGAAGCAACTTTGCTGGGGAAAATCCCACGGACAGCAAGTGCAAAGGGGGAGTCATCATGGTGGAACTTACCAACCCAAAGATGCTTCTGAGGAAGGAATTAATGAATGGGAATAAAAGTGAAGGTGGGGGGGGCACCCCAGGAGGCCAGTGGGATTAAAAGAGAGGATTAAAGAGGCAAAGAGATCAGAGATTTCGCTGTGCATGGGAACTCAGTGGCTGCCTGGTGCAAGCTTCTCATCTTCCCTGCAATGAGGGTATTTAGGAGAGGCCACCCCAAGCCTGCCTGGAGCTGGCTCAGTTTTGTAAGACTTGGGAATCGCGGAGCAAACCTGCATGATCCCTTGGTCATTGGGCCTGAGGGACTCTTCCTCTTGCTTCTGAGGTCCAGCCGAGCTGACCGGGGCTTGTCCACTGTGACGCTGGCCCTGGAAACTAGGCTACAGCACAAAATTCAGACTTGGGCTCCATCGCATGACTGGATAAAGGGTTGCCCCTACCACCTTTAGAGAAATTTAGTAAGGAACAATGCTGGAACAAAGGGCTTTCCCTGGTATCACCCCGATGGGGGAAAGCGTCACCAGCTCCCTTGGGAGCTCTGAAGTCCCCTTAAAGGAATGAAGCATTGATGCCTTGTTAAGCACTGCCATGATTCTTCACTGTGGAATTAATGGGATGGGGATCTGAGTGACCTTGCCACAAGGGCAGGTAGGTACTGGCCAGGGTTTGGCTGCCTGTGTGGTGAGGAAGCTACGTGCCAGATGTCTGAGGACCAGCCCAGCTCAGGGGCAGACACTCATCCTCTGGGGGAAGGGTCTTTTGGCCACAGTCACCTTTCAAGGCTTAGCAAGCCTGCTATGTTATAGAAGGGTGAGACCTCTGTCAGCCCAAATGAGCAAGATTATCAGCCTCAACAGATGGAAATAAGCACCTAATTATACAGAAAAACAAGTCACTGGAAAGTGAACTCCTGCAGTTGAGTCCTCAGACTTCTACCATAAAACAAGGCATATTCTATCCTAGGGGAAAATGACCCCAGATACAATACAGCTCCCTGAGGAAATCCATCTATGGAAAGGGGGAAAGGTTCTTTTTAACCTCAATGCTAATGAATGAGTCCCAAAGAATACTTTCCATATTAAGACAATAAAGTACGGCACAGGCAGAGAAGACTGCTGGGGTGGGGGGGATGGTGGGGTTGGTGTTCTCCCCACACCTCGGGGGTCTCATCTCTTGCCCACCACAGACCAGCACCATTCAGGCTGTCTCAAGCTGAGATGGCTTCAAATGTCTGAAAGGCCATTGGAGGGAAGACAAATCAGACTCCTGGGATCGCAAGATCCTAAACTGAGAGCTGAAAGAGACGCGAGAGGCTGCTCCGTCTGGCCCCTTTGTTTTGAGGCCCTGCCAAGCTAAGTGACTTGACCAAAGTCACCCAAGCAGTAGGTATCAGAGTGGGAATTTGAACTCAGGTCCAAACTCCCAATCTCCTGGCTCTTTTACTGGGTCAGGCTTAGCCCCAGAGAAGCAAGAACAAGGAGCGACGGGGTCTAGGTGAACTCATTGGATGGTATCTGAGATTTGCAGAGGTTTTGGGGAAGTAGATTTCAGTCCAATCCGAAGGAAAATGTAACGATTATAGCTGAGTTAGAGTAATCATAATAACAGCAGCTACAATATTTATTTTGTGCTTTCAGGTT